TTCATTGTAGTTTTTGTTGAAGCAATAATGAATGTATTAGCAGCTGTTGATTGGATATTAATATTGATGTAATGGCAAGTGTAATTAGTGACGCTGTTAACAATATTAGTAGAGTTATAGATCAAAGATTATAGATTAAGGTACGTTTCATCAGGGTGGTATTATCACCATTCATTTAGTTTTAAACTAATTAATGCGACCATGCTTCTGTTTTATTGTCATCATCTCCGATAATTTTATGCAACAACTTTTCAATCAATCAATTAATGCTACTCATTTCCACTATTGGTAAATTAAATTAAAAATTTAGCAAGAACTACATGGATTATTTAAAATTGCTTCTACTCTTTCATATCTGTCATCGTGTCACATCACTGTTGTAATAACTTTCCATTTTAGATAGTTTGCAAAACAATGCCAACTTTTTGGTGAAGTGAGAGTGACCCAAAGTTAGGTATAGGTCGAATTAAAAATACGTTTGATCATATCTGTTCTATCATATATTCCAAATGAAAATGTCTTTCATTGCCAGCTAAAGGGTTTTCAAATTTTAAATTTAACGAAATTTTAGCAAGAAAGTGACAACTGGAAATTCATAAGCAAATGACAACACGTCGAAAATAATAACAACAAACATTGTATTTGTAATATGCAAGGATCTCTCAAAGAAGTCGCAAATTATCGTCCCATTAGAAAATGTCATTTCTGACATATGACTCATGTAGTCCAATGTGAACTAAGACCTTAGATAGATGAAGATTCAGAGGCTGAACGAAATATGCAAGTTTAAGCAAATGAATTTGATTTGATCATACTAATAGAATGAAATATATGTAATGGATTGGGCTAGAAAGAGGTTGTTCGTTGGTCAAATTTCTGAAGGAAATTAAAAATTGCACGAATTCATTGTGAATAATAGATTGATTCTCTCGGTACCATGACCTGAACAGTCCTATCTATCCCCTCGACTCCATTTCCTTCTTTTCTCGCCTGAGAGATCAGACTAAATATGGATTAATTCCCTTTCATTCATTGATATTTGTTATCTTCTTTCTTCTTACACGATTGACAATTTAATCCCCTAAATCAATATAATTAAAATTTCGAAAATGCATTCCAGATACGATGAGCTACTTCTTGTTTAATTTTGGGAAAAAACTAATCGCGAATACCAGACAAGCCCTTTCATCCCCCACAGCTCTACATTACAAAAACCCGAGGGGTAACAGTCGTCGGTCCACCTCAGTGCCATTAATGTTCTAATTCCAGTTCAACTTCATCCAAGACTTTCTTAATTATTTTTCCGTTCTTTTTTTTTTTGCGCCCGTGATGGTATTCTCCCACTCGCCATTACCATTCACTGTTGATTATTTAGAATTCTTCAGTTCTTTTATCGGGAAGTCATCTGCTACAAATCGATTTGAAAATACTTTTAACTATCAAAAAAAGACCTAATTAATAAGCAAGCAAGAATTTATCGCTAGACCTTATTATTTTTCATTTCTTTATAGCACAGTTATGAGTCCTAATGCAAATTATTGATACGGTAAATTGGATCAACGAACTTCTCGTAATCGCTGATCAGTTTATCGCTATTTATCTCTTTTTTCCACGACTTATGATATTGCTTAAATGAAATCCGTATTCGCTGGAATGATTAAATTAAGTTTGACAAAAGGCCAAAACCTAAATATTTGCTTTAAATTTCAGCTGGAAAAAAACTTTCGCGTCGTAATTTTGTTTAAAGCCCAAAGAAGATTAATTATGCTTCAATTTAGTAAATGGTTTTTTTCGTGATCAAAGTGCTATTATCATTAAGAAACAAAAACTTCATTAAAAAATGAATAGAGATCTTGTTGTCGTATTGAATATAATAAAGAAGATGGTAAATATGGAAATAATTCATCTTACAGCTGAAATGTTGCAACGTTAGAGACTGTTAACATTAATGAATAGCAGCTATATATTAAAGCGAATCCGATTTGCTTAATGAAACAACATTTGGAAATACGACGATTAATTAATAGCATTTCGTTTTATTGAATTGACAGGCTAACCTGTCCAGTAATAGTAACAGGTGTATAATAAAATGTATTCGAATTTGTCACACACAATTTTAAATTTAAATTACTGCACATTTTTTTAAAGGTGTTGTTGAAGTGTCCGCAGGTGGTTCCAAAATATTTCAGTTATCAAAATAAAGAATCAAAAAAAAGCTAATGCAAATATGCTAGAGTAAATGTTGTAATTTTTTATTCCAATCTTCCTACGATTGAACAAAAATTTGGCTTTTGTTTTCCGATCTTCTTGTTTGATTTATGGAAAAAAAATATCTTTTCGCTCATTCCTAAAGTAATGCTTGAAATTTTTTCATAAAAATGTGCTCTATATTTTTCTTATATTCTATGCATATGTAACATGTAGAGTAAATTCGCAGTAAGTAAAAATAAACAATTTTTATCAATAAAAAGATTTAAAAGAGTGTAACGACGCATTAAATGAAAATGTTATTCGTCTAAGAAACATTAAGTCATACTGGAAAAAATTCAACAAACATGAAGGACCAAGAAATCCTGTAGGCATACCATTTTTTTTTCTCCATTTGATTATACCTGTATTACAAGATACCCTCGAAATGGCAGTCCTCTTTGATGTCTTGGAAATTTTATCATCTAAACATGAAACAATGACCCATTTTGTATTTCTAACTGACCATCCAGAATCTGAAGAAGTGCCTTCTAACTTGCTGTTCGTGTGAGATGCTATGTCATGACATACCATGTAAACTGAAATTTTTGGGCTGAAAAAATGATCCCGAAACGAATAGAATTAGAGCTACCATGAATTGTTATTTGAAGTTTCCGGATTTTCATATTTTTGCAGCTAGTTGATAAACATTTAGTCCAAATACTTAGTTCATTCCGGAAAGGATAGGAATAGTTTATCACAAATGATAATAAGATGTGTGAGGGAAGCCAAATATCATCGAATTGGCTTACTGTTAATTTCTTACATACTTGTTTTTACGTCCTCATATTTCATTTTAATTATATTTTAATGAGGATTGGTTTTATGAGATGTTTTAATGAGAAAGAGGTCCAAAATTCTGCACCAATTAATTGTTGTACTTTGTCTATATCACCAAAGTTATTACTTCCTTCACGAAATGTACAATGTACTTTACTTTCTATAAGTAATCAAAAGAAGTTGGTCTCTTTTTCTTTGGATATTTGCGCATCATATTACAAAAATCGAGTAATTCCAAGAGAATATTGAAATTCGCGTTGTCACACGAAAAAAAATTGAGTGGTTTTTCGAATGATGAATTTGTCGGAATTACTGTGATTGTGGAACTGCTATGATTGTTAACGTTTTCCTAAATTTTCTACGAAAGTTGTCTATTTTTATATCTGTCAAACTATTTATACCAATGCTTTATTCGCTCTATTCCTCCCATATATTTCAAAAATTAGCTCATGTTTCTCCGTCATTCGGAAGATAACTGAAGCACTGGAAAATTTTTCTGTCTCGTTGCAAATTATTTCGAAAATACTTCCGACTGCTTTGTGATATATAACTGATTTGTCCCTGACTTATGGATAATGTAATTGGTAGTAGCAGCTATAGTAGTAGTAGTTCTATTAGTGTTGGTATAGTAATAGTATTAATAAATACTACTATCATCCGTCATATCAATAAGTATTATTGAAATTCTGGTCTTAAAATATGATCAATTACAAGCTAAGAAAATGTTGAAGAATATGATCAGTTTGGACGGCCAAACTTTCTGGTCAGAAGTTGGATAAGCTTAAGTATTAAGCAGTAATACAAATATTAGCAAGGTTTTTGTTGATGTAAAAATGAAGTTTGATATAAGATTAAAAGATAAGTATCGGAAGATTAATATAAAAGATAAACATCGGGAGAAGATTGGGTAGATTACTGGAATTACAGAGAACAACTCTAAAAGATTTAAATCAAATGATGAGGTACCGAAGTGTCATGACCAATGTATCTGATAAGCTGAAAAAAAGCAACCTTTTATCAGTTTCCACTATTTTTGCTACTTTCAGGCAATTACATCGCATCATTTCGACACTTCCACTGATATTCTTGATGTTCCAGTAATTAAGCTTCCATTGTACCTTTTCTACTACTATGCTACTTTATAATAGTAAAATTTGAACAATAGTTTAGCCTTCGTTGTCAGCACCAGAAGACTGATTCATTCTTTGCCCTTAGACATTAAGTTGTAGTGCAAAATCAACATCAGTTGATAGCACAGTAAAGAAGCTTGGAGAAATCTATCTATGTAAATAAAGAAGGCCATGAAGTCCAAATATAACATTCTATCGGGTACCACGAGAGATATTACAACCCTTTTTTACAAGACAAATATCTGATACGTCCGGGCAGTCACTGTCAGAATGAAATGCTTGGCATGATTATTCCTGCAGAAAGGTCATTAAAAAGTATTAATTCCCATGCTATTTCGAAATGCTAACGTAGTATAAAATTTTCTTTTCTAATTAGAGATAAAAAAAAACTGAGCAAAGAGATTCAAAGATATTGAGTACGAACATTGCTCACTTCTCACTCTGTTGGATTGTCATGGAAATCAAACAGCTTTCCTAGGTGTTTATACTTTTTTCACTGCGATTCATGCCCAGATCTTTTTAATACTGTTTAGTAATTGTTTCGAAATTTCCTTTAGACATAAAGAAAATTTTGTTAAAAACTTCGTCGCCTCAATATTTCGCTGTCATTTCGCATAATTCTTGTAGAAAGTAAAAAATATTTAAGTCACACATTCTAGCAGTGAAAACTGCATGAGACTGACAGTGCAATTCTATTCATTCGGTGTTGTAGTATTATTCGATCTCACTTATTACTAAACAAAAGCATGCGTAAAAGAACTAACAAATGGCATGCATATTGCATGAGGCGAAGTTGCAGTACAAAGCCCCATCTTCATCCCATCATTCAAAGTTCAAATTTATCACTGAAATATTTATTTGTCAAAAGAAACCGAAACGAACAATACAAAAACAATCAGTGATAAAAAAATGCGTGAAATTTATACGGAGGAAAACACAAAAGGCGGAAATATCAACAGACCATTCACAACCAAAAATTTCCTCATTATCGTGGTTAAGATTTAGAAAACAGTGAAATTTTTAAATCCAGAAAAAAGCTTCTTCTCCCTTCAGAAAAGAACTTTTCCCTACTAGAATATCGAGTATTGCCATTTCCGGACCTTGCCGGCATAAAAAGACATGAAAAAACAGAATCAACCCGATGATTCCATGGCGAAATTACTTCAACTGCTTCGTTCAAGCGCATCAGATAAACAACTATGGTCTAATTTAAATGAACTATATCCCATAATATATAGCTGTAGTCTACCCTGTTCAATCTATTTCGAAAGAACGTTTGGTCCAAGTATAATAAAAGATAGAACAATTTTTAGTACAAAAAAAACAGCATGAAGTGATGCCTTAAAGTCATTATGTCTGTGTAACTTAGGTTTCGAACACTGGATAAGTCCTAAAATGCGAAGGATGCATATCTTACATCGTATATTATGATCTTATTATTCTACAGATGCTTTCTGCTGTAGATTTTAGTCTGAAATACAAACCATACGGCGCATGAGAAAAGCACAAAATTGATCAGGAAATGTCTGCATTAGTGATATCTTTCCATCACAAACCATTATGCATTTGCATTTCTGTTTCTCTATTCGAATAATCAACGGCAAAACAGGAACCAATCCAAACAGCAAAGTTAAATCTGTCTCAGTTATACTGCAAGGAAAGAAAGCAAGCTTCTTCGTAAATGTACAACGAAGGAAATCCAAGTAATATTTTGAAAACAGAAAATTTAATACATTATAATTCGTTAATGACAACGCCCTGAGTATATAAACAGGGCAAAAGATTTATATGAATGATATTTTCTGCAAAGTATCCCAATCCTTTGATGCAAATATAGGAAAGAAAAAGTTGAAAAAGAGAAGAGATACAGAAACACCTTGATGCTGACCGAGCTTACAGTTCCCAACCCCGCAAATGTGAAAAAACACCTCATTTGCATAACTGATTCCAGACTCACACCTTGATGGATTATCTTAAATTCTACGGCATTTAAACCGCAGTTAAACAATGATAGCCTGCAGTATTGTTCTATTCTCAGAACATGAAAGAGATTTTTTATGGGTTCGAAAATATCGATGAAGGATTCAACAAATAAAACTGAAAAAGGATAAATGAACAAATATGTAACTTCGAAAAAAAAAAAATTTAGTAAAATCGATTTGACTGATCGCTGAACGAAAGTGTGAACTGATTCTGTGATAACAGTTGAGTAGGTGGGCGTCTGAAATTTGCACAATTTAAAATACATCTGCGAATTAGCCAAATCTAAGCCAACACTTCACTACCAACTGCAGTAGACGTGTGCAAAATATGGTTGAAATTAAAGGGCTTTTTTTTCGATTAACGCTTCTTTTCTTTCTCACAAAGAAGGAAGAAATTTCATTCGTACCATACAGACACAAATAAACAAATAACAATACACACAACAACACCAAAAAAAACGATGTCCTTCATGTTCTTCATAATCTCACTAAACTAAAAGTGCTGCTGTGCAGCTCTCCTTACAGTATTTATAAATCCATGTCTTTTCATCTTCTACGAAGATCTTTCAAAACTAATATTTTTGGTGATGTTTCGAGAAAAGAATCAACCTACCCGTAGGGCACAGGATTACTTCTTGCAGGATCGTTGAATGCTGGATTAATTCCAATCAGATTTTGTCCCAAGTTTTGCCCCATATAAGGTGGTGGTGGTGCTACAGGAGGGGGAATTCTGGAATCGAAGTACGGAAGACGTTGTAGTTGAGGATTTGGAGCATGCTGGATCCCAGCTATTGGAAACCTTTGCTGCGAAACAGGAGGTAATGATGGTGTATAGGCACCTGATGAAGGTGGTGGTATCCTGAACGGTGGTATACCTGGAAATAAGATTCAGCTGACGATTACCGTTCAGTAATAATTTCTTTAAAAAAAAAGGCAAATAGACAAAATGGAAAAGACAGAAAATTCGAGATTAATGAAATATCAATCATTTAGCACCGTGCGTCGTCCAGTGCATCCCTTATAGGACCTTATATAAGTTCTCCAAGGAGAACCATGATAAAATTGTTGTACTGTTCTGATTTACTTTATTTATTAAAACTAATGAATAATGCCGAGACAACTACAAAAAATAAAAATAAAATAAAAATTAAACCTAATGGAAGTGGCTGTTGATACAATGGAGGTCTTGGCGTCCTCATTATAGCTGGTAGTCTAGGTCGCGGATTCGGTGCATGGTATGATGGATGGGGCAGTGGCACACTTGTTGGGATGCAACCACCTGCACTACGAGTCATCTGATCAAAAGCTAAATCTCGTTCTTCGTCGAACCTATAAACGCCCCCAAATATTCTTTCTCGTGCTTGCAGGTATGCTGCTTCCCTTTCCTGAAAACACATTTAAACAGTAATAATAATCAAGCTAATAAAACTTTAAAGATATAGAAGCATGTCTTCGACTAGGTTCTTCATCCATTCGATTAGCACTTTTCTTTCTACTTAATCCCTATAGTAATCCTAAACTTTTTTTATGAAGACTATGCCCCGAATAATAAAGGAACTGTAATAGCAGTGATTTATTCTCTGAAAGATCTAATCACGAATATCTCTTAACTTTCTCAAACATTATTACTTTATTCTCTTGGTCAAAATTTAAAAGAGCCGAATTACGAAGTTTCTTGAAACTAGAAAAAGCAATGGCTACAAAATTAGTTTTCGTATAGCATTCTATAGGGTTTGATCGCCATTTCCTCCATTCAGATTCAAGTGATTTCTGCTTTTCGAGAAGTGACCTTTCCCAACAATAAGTTAACCGAATATACAACACCATAACTTTCGTGGATTACTATTTTCAAGCAATCATTCTTTTTTATATTGATTAGTATACCCGTTGAGTGATTAACACAAAAATTTTCGTTATCCTGACTCATAGCCTAAACACTAGAGCTTTTAAAAAGAGATAGGATAAATCCCTCTTTATCAAAGGGTGTTCGAAAATAACGTTATAGCATCAGCAACTTATTTCGACTGTATCAATCTGGCGAATGTGGATAGGGAATCTTCCAGGTCAGCCAATATGTGTGACCATGATTCTTCTTTCCATTAGAAAAAATTTCAAGGATATCTTTACCTGAAGAGTCATCGTCTTCGTTTTTTCCTCAAGCTTTGCCATACCGTGCTGTGAAGATGACGACTGCATTTCACAACCTTGTGGACGTTTCAAAATTTGAAAGGCTGGTTTATCGAAACTATAATTAGATGAACCCAAGGAAATTAGCAGTTGATTAGTCTTTAAAATACAGTATAATCAATCAGTGGTGGGACTTAGTGAGAGATAAATATGAAATAATCTACTAGTTTGTAGTGAAATAGTTTTTCGATTTTCGATCCTGATGTACTAACTTTGAGCCCTGTTCCTGCATTTGTTGTGCCGCTTCTCTTGCTCTCCACATCTCTTCTTGTTTTTGCTTTTTCGCCTCAATTTCTTTCTTACGTTCATCGAAAAATTTTTCCGTGGCCTATAAAAAAAGTTCCGCTTGAGTTAAAATAAGCTTGGCAAGACTAGAATTTAGAAAAAAGAATAACCAGATTGCAATAAGCGGACGAAATTTTCATTCTGAAGCAGATCTTCAATATACTAAAGTGATACTGCTAGCGTATTTTAGACTATTATGTCTGGAGAAAACCTCAATGCGATCACCCTCCCAAATTTAAGTTAATTTAGGTGAATAATTCCCATTCGAAATACTTGTCGTGTTGACATTCCAGCTGCCCTGGCCTTCAATATCTCATGCTCTCTTTTCGCTATCGCTCTTACACATTGCTTATTTATACCTTCACCTTTATTGAACCATCTTCCCTTTTCCTATAAATGATTTAGATTTGAATTAAGCGTTTCGTAAGATCTAGATGGTTTTTCTTTTTTTTTGAATCCAGTCAGCAGAAAAGGTAAGTAAGGTAAGGTAAGTGTACTAGAATACCCTCTCACTGAAGCTAAAGGAGGTTTTAGAAATGAGCAATCAATTATCTATAGTAATCAATTATTTATTATGGCTACATAGCATTTGGCTATCACCGCTATTTCTACCATTTATTAAGGAAGACGACAGTTTCGATATATAAACTACAAGCAAAAAAAGCCACTAGATAAGAAGCTATTAAAAAATTACCGTTTCAAAATAATAAAATTCGGATGGATCTGGTTCACGATCCATTCCCCAGTGAAATGGATAATAATTACCGTACGGGTCAACGATATAACAATCATAAAAGCGCCAACCCTCTTCCCACATCCTTTGGCGTAAATAAACATTTTCCTCCTTAAGCCTATCCTTATAATCGTTTACCACGATATGTATTTTATCCAAATCGTTACCTCGATCGTCACAAAAATTAATAAAATCCATTTGAGCAATGATCAACTCATCCCTCTTTTCGAGTAATTTCTGCAGACGTTTCGATCCTCTAGTCATTCTTTCACTGATTACATAGACTAACTGTATGGATTATCCTATCTAATCAAAATTAAACCAGAAAAGGCGCCTAGATTAGACATGATCTAACAAACTGGAGAATTTTGCTCATACCGGTTCTTCTCTTTCGTATTCGTTGAACTCGACTATTACCGTTAATTCGTTCTTTCATGAATGTCTATATTTTTTGGGTTAGTGATAATCAGCATATTAAATTCTGAATTATCATAACAGTATGAACTATAGTGTTACACATTCTTGCTTTAGAAACATGACCACAACAGGCCTCTTTCTCCATAGCCTCAATCTTGACTATTCTTCCTTATGATCATCTTGCAGACAAACTGGTCTATGTATCTGATCTCTAGATACCAATCAATATATGGATGAGCAGTAGTGCAGTTGGGCTTTGTTTGAATGGGTTTTATTACTTACTTAGTCGACGATAGAAATTTAAATAGATCCAATAGTTTTAACAATTCAGTAAAAAATAAACAGTTGATTAAAGCCAAATTGATGGAAGTAAAGGCCGAAACTGTCGACCCACAATTCAAATATAAATTAAATATTGGAAGGGGCAAAAAGTTGTACTTACCTCATCGCCAGCCTCTTCCCAGCTGTCGGCTACATTTTCGTTCTTGGCACCCCCCTTATGACTATCTGTCATCGCCCAAACAATCACACAAACACTGAATCGCGCCCAAGCTTGAAACTGGAAAACAAATCTTTTAATCCCGAGCAACTGCACAGTTTCCATCGAAAAACGTCTCAATATTACCAGTAATGAGTTTGATTAAAGTCGATTCGAACTGGAAGATGTCCCTCGCTTTATATTACACTGTATCTCTTCGATTCTATGGAATAAGAGAGGGATCCTCTGCATTACTCTATCTTTTGTATCGGAAGCAAGCGAATGTCGTCTATAGACAACTTAAGCAGGGCTACTTCAACTGAATCGGTCTATAACATAAAAGAATCAAAAATCTAATGTATGGATTTAATCAGTCACTATAAACACAATTCCCAAGCATGTGGAGAATCCTATTAAAACACAGAATGTCAAATGAATAATTAACTGTCGCCTAGTTTGTCCTCGCATAATTCTCTTTTTCAGTTGATTCTCAGTAAAATACAGACTTTATGCCCAATTCATTTTATTGGAGAGAATTAGAAAACACCTACAAGTTAATTCATCCAGCACTCCGCAAAATCTCTGCTTGCGAAGTCTAATCCGCTGCTGAGACATAATTATAAACAGGTTCTTCCCCTCTTGATCACTATGTACCGGTAAGCAACCCTACTGATCAAACATAACTTCCTTGACGCCATACTTCAAATGGTCGAGTAATGCGCGTTATACATTTAATGAAGAGCCCCTCCCATATTTCGAGACGACTTTTTGCATGGATTTGAGAGAAAAGAAAACTTCAATTTAAGAGAAATATATCGATAATTTTCTTCAACGCGTGCAAAATTGCTTCGCTGAGAATTGACAAAATTTTCAAGAGATTTAAATGAAAATATTTATTCATTAAGATTACATTCATGTATCATGAAAGGATTATTTTACAATGGGAGACAATTATTTAGGTGATAGCAGCATAACAGAAGTAAGAATACTGGAAAACGAATTTTGCCAATGGAAATCAGTGGGAAAAGAAAAGTAATTAAGCTGAAACAAAGCCCCCAAATCATCGCAAATTATTTCTGCTTAATTTCTTCTACATCATATTTCTGGTCAGTGGAAAATTAAATCATACATCATTATATCTTTGAAATTTTGATATACATTTGCATTTTCACAAGTGGAACCCGAAAGAAATTGAGAATTTCATTGCAGTGCAATCTAAAGTAATTACTTATAGAACTCAAAATCATTTTGATCCTTCTTTATCACCGATTTGTATGCCTTGTCGAAATCTTTGGTCAGTACAACGTAACGATTTTCACGAACTGCATGCATACCAGCCTATAACATTATTGATGTAAAAAAAAACGAGCTTATAGCAGAACGAGATTGCTCGATATCATTCGCCTTTCAAATTTTATATAAATTTAACCAACCTCCTGACATATGGCATTAATGTCTGCACCCGACACTTTATCTGGCCTAGCAACAAAGTCTTCCATATCAACCTCATCCGAAAGATTCATTTTTGTCGTAATTGTCGAGAAAATGAGACGCTTCTGTCGGCGATCCGGCATTGGAAACTCAATTTTTCGATCTAAACGGCCGGGACGTAAAAGCGCCGGATCCAAAGTATCTTGACGATTTGTTGCCATTATTACCTGGATAACTTCAAAATTATTAATCTATTTAAAGGACTTTAGCTGACTTTTGCATAACATTACCAGTAAACACTGAGTATTGCTTAATGAAGAACGGTGAAATATAAGAAGTTAAACCATTAAATCAACCCAAAGGAATTTATTAATAGGATTTAAATAGTAGATAATTCGCAACAATTTAACCAGTCTGTCATTCAAGAAAAGAAAATGTCGGTGTAGAATTGGCTCATCAATAGGATGAAAAGCAAACATATAGCAGATCACCCTGTAAAATTTACCTTAACATTTGTACTCTGATCAAAACCATCCATTTGATTCAATAATTCCAACAAAATCCGTTGCACTTCACGATCAGCACCGGTTTGTGCATCGAATCGTTTCGTTGCAATTGCATCAATCTCATCGATGAATATTATCGATGGACTGTTCTCTTTGGCTAGACGAAATACATCACGTACCATGCGTGGTCCTAGAAATACAAAACAATCGAATGCCAGCATAAACCATCATGATATTTATGCAAGTAATTTTCAGATATAAACAACTATGCATATAAGTTAATGCAAAAAAAGAAAAAGGAATTTCACCTTCTCCGAGATATTTTTGAACAAATTCACTTCCGACAACACGGATAAATGAAGCTGTGGTATGTGCTGCTACTGCTTTTGCAAGCATTGTTTTACCACATCCCGGTGGGCCATACATAAGTACACCTCGCGGAGGATCAATACCAATCTGAGAAATGATTTTCCAGGAGATGAGTAATGCAAATTGTAAATGACAGCAAAATGTGGTACTTACTTTATTATTCACATTATCATTTACTAAAGGATTTGTAGCTTGAGATGTTTTAAAACTTCAAATATCTGTGTAATTTGAGCAAATGGAATAATAGCTTTGACTATTCAATGATTACACAGTTGATTTTAGCTGTCAATGCATAGTTTTTTCTTTACACATAGGAAAAAAAAAGCATTTAAATAAAAAATAAGGATAACGGGCCGGCAGTGGTTAATCGCTCGGCAAAGCATTATCATACACCGTTTCATCAGCTTCTTATGAAACTTCCACTGAGCCAGAAACTATGTAGAAGTTAGAAATTCAGTGATCGCTGGAGAATATTAAAATAATGAACCTGCTGATAGAGCTCCCCGTGAGTAAGAGGAAGTTCCACCGCTTCGCGAACCTCCTGTTTCTGCATGTCGAGACCTCCGATATCAGCATATGAAACCTATAAAGAAATAGAACAAATATCTTATATACTGTTGTTGGGTCATAATAACAATAAAATCGTTAAAGACAAAAGTTACTAGGGTCAAAAGAAGGGCAGCTAATTTTAGACTATATCTTCTGATATAACACGCCACTTGACATCAGACAAAATTACATACATGAGTTTCCCATAAAAAATTTGTGCCATCGGTTACCAAATTTTCCGTCTAATTCACTGATGATTAGGCTACCATTTTGAGACAAGGATTTTAGCAGCAGCGTATGACCAGCTACGTTACAACATCGCCACTGCTAGGGAGTTTTATTAATTCTGCGGCAAGAGTTAAATTACAAAACTATAACAAGGTCAATCTGTAACTACAAACATCAGGTTTTTCATCAGCACGCAGCATTTGTATTGTCGAATCTGCTTCCGGTGGTAACACATCAACAAGAGCATTACTATATTTATGCAATGCCACGCTACAACCGGGTTTCAACAGCTCGCGATCCAGAATGGACAACACACGAACAAAGTAGTTCGATCCTAAACAGAGATTAAAAAAACAATTGTTTAAAAATAGAGTAATAAAAGTATGCTGAACAAGTATTTCGATGAACGTCTAACTTCATCACTTTATTCCCTTGATTTTTAGACCTTCTACTTCAAAACAACGGAGCTAATCTCATCTAATTTCGAGATTACAAGAAAACTTTTATTAGCAAAAAAATATGGCTGTCATTAAAATCGAAACCTATTACCTGTAGTTGACCCCACAATTGCATGGTCCTGATCGACGGCCTCCAAGAACTGCCCAATAACTAAAGGGACAGATTGTATTCGTTTAACCTGAAATCTTCACTCCAAATTCGGACAGAATTAGCTATATCCAAGATATAATTCTTCATCTCTTCCGTTTAATTTGGTCGTACCTTCTTTTTACTGCTCAGTTTGTAAGGCATACTTGAATTCTCATTTATCTCTGAGTCTTATATCGCTAACCTCTTCTTGAGCATGCAATAATTCTTTTTCCAGATTTCGTGTTTCTAGTTTTACATATTCCTCCATAACATCTAAGTGCTCAAGTTGCTTCTCAAGCTTCTTGTACCGCATATAATCATCCGGTTCATCCAGCCCCATTGTGACACCCTCCCTTGTCGCTGTGCCATATTCACTTGGCATTTCCTTTAATACAACAGTTGGTATAGTATCAATTCAGAACCACAACTGTTTTCATGATCATTTTCGAAATAAAAGCAATACTTCGTCGATAAAGATAAACTTCGCACAGTCATAAAACAAACAAACACCGACTGTAAAAATAATTGCACATAATGGAAATATTGACCATCCGGTAAGATAGACTGGGAACAATTAATTAGATCAAACCACACCTGTACACCAACATCTACCATTGTTTCTTCTTCCTGATTCTCGGAATGACCCTTTGCTTCTCTGTAAAGAACATTTTCGAAACATCATCAATTAGCTAATCATGGTAGTACGCTCATATCGCCTTTACCGCTACGTGTAACCCCTTTAAACTAATCAAATTATGGGACGAGCAACTCCCACCTCAACCCGCTCCTCAGCGGAACCATATACCGTACATAGGGATTCGCTATGAGATCTTTAATTTTAGTAGCATCACATGACGGAGGATCCAAATCCCGATTGCGGTAGAGGGGATGGGTGGGTGTATCGCGATGAAGTGAGAATTTACTGGCTGTTAACTCACTGACATGTCTTAGCCTAAATTAAAGCACAGAGTTCGAGCCTAAACCGAAAAAATCATAACTTGAATCCACATCTTTGTTAGATGTCTTAAACTCGTTATATAAATCGCTGTGATCATATTTATCTCGAGCGCTATAATTCGATGTATAAATTGCCGTAATTTTTAAAATAATTATTAATCGTGAAGTACAATAATGAGAAAGCACGTGATCATTCATTAAGCGTACTTGGTATTGCGCAATGAGGATGAGGATGAAATGAATAACTGGCTATATTCATTACATTGCTTCAAGTTTACAACTACCGATAATGAAAAGATGATGAGAGTGTAACTATTTACAAGGCCACAACTATAATGAATGAAATAAATATAATATTCAAAGAAATTGATAAACAACTGTCTACGGATACATGAATCAGTGCAAAGGAATCAATGTACTGCATCCCATTATCTGCCAGGAAAGGGTCTGATCCGTATTTCTAAATAGAAAAAGTTTTATTAGTAAAAATAATTTTCCGTTTTTTTTTTGTTCTACTTTTTCATGCTTTCCTTTAAGTACTTTTGCAGGGTAACTTATGCGAAACTATTAAACCAGAAAACCATTTAATTCCGGTCTTCTGTTTAACATTCGTAAGTAAGTTTTTGTTTTTACATTTGATTTGCATGAAAACAATGGATGAAGTAGTGAGAAAAGACAAAAAAGTACAGCAAAGAAAAAGCAGAGATGTTTCTGATAATCCAAAATAATACAAACGAAGTGGGATGGATATTCGCAGCAAGCATATGAGTAAAAAAAAAATAAACAGCAAATATGAAGTAAGAGTTTACAAAATATGTACAAACAAACATATTTAATATGATCCAAGGTTTGAAAGCAAGTTCCAATTATGTAGGTTCTTTCAATCCTCTCTATCATCCTTATCACTCTTGTCATCTTTATTATCCTTGTCATCGTCACTTCGCTTATCATATTTTAATTTTAAAGTAATCTTTTTCTTGAATGGACAGTGCCTGAAAATAAAACAAAAAACCCTATTATTATGCAATAAGCCATGCTATACTGCATATTTTAAACATCCATAAGTAATAAATTAAGAGAAGGAAGAAATGTTAGACGGTAACATTATCAAAATGACGTTTGGCGGAGAAGCTATTCGATGGATGTGATAAGATTAAGGATAATGGTAATGGACAAATTAAAAAGGTAAGCATCTCTGAAAACATCCGGCAAATCGCCTGCTGTTATGACGCAATCGGTCAAATAAAAAAAGAAAAATTGTTTTTTCTGGGGGAAAATAGGTAGTACAGAATGGAAACAAGTAACATGAAACTGACAGTGGTAGATAAAAAGGTGGAATATTTGACAAAAATTTTAAATGAAAACGAAAGATGTTTATATGTTGGTTTCATCCACTTGACCAGTAGCGCCAAACTAATGAAAATACTCGTTGACGGTGCAAAACGATGGTGATGGCATTAGGTCATTTACAGGAGCATGTTGCTTTTAGTTTAGGGAGATGCCGCATACCTCTTAACTAACCAATTTGTGCTAGATAAAAAAGGGGGGACTTACTCTAATATGATATTGTAAAACATCCAAGCGAGGGGTACCGAGCGAATTACTCGCAATATAGGCGACTCTCTGAAATAGCAGAAGTCTCCTTATGAATATTCATTTCACTTATCGAAATATTAAACAATCTTAAAAAGGAAAGTGATCACTCACATCAAAGTATGATTTTGAAGTCCACTGGCGTGGCACACTTTGCATGGCTTCATACACGCTAATTTCGGACACTCCTTTCTATCATGATTTTGAGGGAATTTGTAAGTGGCAATACAGTATCCGCACGGATCACTCTGGAACAGTGGAATCGGAGTTGGAAGTCCTCTTTGGACGAAAAATCAGACATTAAACAGCTACATTTGCCATTTAATAAATCTGAACGAAAACAAATAAAATTGGAAATGAACGATTCAAATGGATGAATTGTTATGAGTTTTGAATTTCGTCTAATCCATATCTAAATTTGGCTGATTCAAGTTTGAATGTATAGTTAGAAATTAATGAATATATAAGTTTTAAGATTTTCTAAAAAAAAAGTGAAATACATTGTACTCAGGATAACATTAATAATGTATGAATATGCAGCACAGTAATGTTCAGGTTTGTTTTGCTAACAGTCGGAATACCATTTCCTCTGACATTTTTCAGCTTAAGTACTTGCTGATCCTAGAAACTTTTATCGAGAGTAAGATTCTACTTATCTTCTAGTGACCAAATCTTCAGCCGTTAATGGAGATATCAGTAGGCTTCATAAATCTTAACATCTCGGATATTACACCATTCTTTATTTAACGATACTCGAATTCGTGTATGACATATACTGATATTTAACAAAAATTTACGAATCACATAAACTTAATTACCGATGAGGATGGTTTATGAAGTAACTGTGAAATAGCTGTGACGGCTGGTGTGCCAGATAATGATGCATTTAGATTAAATTGAGCCAGATAATTTAGAACGGACTGTCCAGAAGCAGCTAACAAACAACTGGAAAATTGCGGGGAAGAAAGTGGTAGATGTTTAAAATTGTTTCCGGAGTTATCATTCTGAGCTGTCACGGTCTGTTGTAATCTCTCTTGATAACCGATCGATACTAATAAGCCAACCTCTGGCACTGTATTTCGCCCCTCCACAGCCTCCGGCACTGTATTTCGCCCCTCCACAGCCTCTGGCACTGTATTTCGCCCCTCCACAACCTCTGGCACTGTATTTCGTCCCTCCAACTTACCACAGAAGACTGATGAGTTCGGTTTTTTCCATAGGACTAGTGATTTTACTTGATCTATTAAGTTTTGCAAAAGGTGACTTCCTGGATTGTACAGTTCCCTGAAAATCATTTCGACATAATGAACAAAACTAATACTTATTTGTTCTTTACTCAGTTTAGTAAAACTTGTTTTGATGCTTGAAAAAAAAGAGAATAAGATCTGTTCCACCAAAACTATTACATTTATAAGTAACAACTTATGATAAATATGCTAACTTTTCTCTTTGCAGAACATGTTCTACTGAGAAGAAATCCGCAGGTAACGAAGGATTCATGGAGGTATCATGATTGGTATGCCTGAAAGATAAGAATTCTTTTTTTAACTGAATGTAACTCATAATTCATAAAAGATAAATCGAATATTTCTAAAAAGTTGTGAGAACGTTCGAGAAGCAATTAATTTCAACTTATCACTCTTCTCTGTGGTAAGTTTCATAGCCGATATATCACCAGCATTCGGACTACAGTGGGAGTAGTTGATGGTCCACATCATGAGCTCTTCGACAAAACAAAGTTGCGCAAATGTCATTAGATAGAGCAGTGGAATGACCGGATGAACAGTAATAAAAAAAATAACGACTAAAAAAAACTAATAGTTGATATCAACAAAATTCCTTTAAAAAAATTGAAATATTTGATCGAAGAGATATCGCTTTTGTTTAAAAAAAAAAAAGACGATGCGAACATTCTTGGTGAAAACTGAAATGCGATAGAATGGGTAAACAAATGAACTGAATTAGAGGAGTAAGATGAACTGAACTGAACCAATCAACCAATCAAAATTAATTACTGGACTGAATTAAAACATTAGACTGATGAAATAAAACAGTGGCATAAATTAAATTAAACTCAGAATGTCCGACCAATAATTGGATTAATAGTTTTATTTCTTGACAATAAGCCAAACCATGACTGATAGAGTAGAAATTCTACAGTACCATCCTCCGCCACAGGTAATGACGCAAAATGCAACACAGTGTCAATCTTCTTTTTGATAATCGCTGGTGAAAGCGATGAACTGCTATTATTATCAAACTGCAAGATAATTGAAATGGGAAACGGTTTAAAAATAAGTCTTTTTCATCGATTTTTTTTTAATCTTCACTGATTAACACCTGACTGGGTTTACGTTTCTGATACATATGCAGAAGTGATACTGAGAATGAGACAAACGGTAATGAAAATGAGGTAAGTGATAAACAGTGATAAGGAGATTTTGACAACAATAGCATCGATTAAGCTACACATAGGTATCAGAAGCTTCAACTAGGCCGCGTGTTGGTCAGCGAAGATTAAACAGTGCAGACAGAATAGGCTGATTTTAAAAAGTTTATCATATCAATCAGTTTGGCGAGAAATACTGTATCGAATAATCTAACAGTTTTGGTAATCTTGGTGTTGGAAAGAGCGATGTTTATGCAACTAATTGTCACCAAAGTAAATGGCTATAATGGAATCGTTACTTTAATTAAGCCTTCCAAAAAAAAATGAACCGGTTTGTATTCATCACTCACATTATCCCCTGGATCCTGAAATGTTTCTGGCTGATTCCGGGCATCATCATTTACTTGATTCTCATTGTTTTCTTCCTCCGAATTATTTTCTTCTGGCTCGGAATGATGTTCCTCATCTGTAATATCCATATCGTGGCCAGTAAACTGAGCCTGAAACATGAAAGTTAACTGATGCGAGGAAGAATGAAAAGTAATAGGAAGATTGCCGTCATCCCTTTCATAGTGGTAAAGCTGGAAGGATTTTACCAAACTGAAAATATTGCCCTCACTTTCGTTGCCTGATTACTTCCAGAAGCAATACTATGCCGATCGTTCAAGAAAACCTCGTAGTAACATTGATCCTCCTCTCATTTTGATTGACGTGTTAGTCCTCGGAATGCATGATTCGCGGTAATATGTTCTAATCATGGCCTTGCTTTAGTATTCCCATACGGTGTACTTTGGCCGAGTTTTATGATAATATTCCTCAAGCCCTTTGGAGAATTCAACCCGGAAGGAAGACTGTAGTATAGAAATGCCATGAAGCCTGTAGGGCTTAATAAAAATGGGAAAAGAGCGACTTGGGAAATGTTGGAGAACTTGACACTAAGTAATATCTAGGGACATCAGAAATGTCCCAAAGAGGAATCTATGCAGCATTATTACCTTCTTCATCTTCTACTGTTTGATGGCCGTGTCAACTTTCCGATCAGAACCAAAATTCATATTAAATGCTTACATGTGCGTCGAATTAATGGAAAAGAAACGGACCTTTCTCCGGGTGATGTGAATACCGCTGTGTTGGATGGCTTACAGCAATCTACAGCATACCAACTACCCCCGAACAATTATAATTCGCGCGGTCGTCCTCTGAGGATAATCCCTAAACTATCTTATCCATCGGGAGATATTGCCCAGATAACCCGGCGATAGTATGAGTAGCCTTCTATGCCACAAACACTGAGGCATTCATCGGGGAATAAGATGCAGCTCAACAGCGTTGCAATCTGATTCTCCCACGGCCCCTCACCGCATCCTACCCTATCCTGTTTTAGCCTGATGAACTGATTGTAATATTTAGGCAAATGAGCACGGGGGAAGAGGAATAGTGATAACATGTGTTACTTTAAAAACCCAGTTCATGGAGAAAGCGGTAATGAATGTCATCATCTCCTCGGGGAATTTCCATTAAATCAATACCTGTCTCTCATCATCCATCCTATCGAGGAGTATCGTTTGGAGAGTATCGAGGCGCGGCAGGTAATATCCCCGTTATTACCGGAAAATATTGGGTAATCTGTGTTCACAACCCAACTAGCGACTCGCACTCGTTGCACGACCGACTTCTGGAGTGGAGATACCTAACTATGTGGAGTGTGGGGTCAGATACCTAGCTATGTGGGGTGTGGGAAATAATTTTTATATTACTGTTAGACGTATTTCCACGTCTCACTCATGGGGATGAGGTCATATCGCACGAGAAATATTTATCGACATTTATCCAAACATTTGTATCGATGTACCAAACATCTACTCTATATAATTCCCGATCTTTCGTGGGTCGGTCTCCTCTGTGCTGTCCATTCCCTCCATACTATTCACTCTGTTTTTTTCGCCCCCATGAATTTGACCCCAGCAGCGGAAGTTGTACTTCATCGATTCTCCTGTGGGGGTCAGCTCCTTCTGCTTACCTTTCCTTATTCCTTTTCTCAACTTTTCATCGTCACAACTTTCGATTCTTGCAGTTAATACTTCAGGATACTCTATTGATTCTGGAGTGTATCTTACAATAAAAAGCAAATCTTACAACAAAAATGCTTCGTATCCCCATTCCTTCATCGGTGGGACATTCTGTATTCCGGGACTCCGAGGAAGAATTCATAAAAAAGTTCATTAAAATTATTGGATATAAATCGCATGATATTTTCCAAGACTCCATTTCATATTTGTATTATTCTAATTGGTGGTCGGTCTCCATTTGCTACTCTCAACATACGCTGGATGAAGTTGAGGGCTAGGTAAGTGTTTGTATGCAGTGGAAAAGGTTAATGCAAATGTTTACCTTTGCATTCCTAAATTTCATTATAAAAGAAGTAATTTTAATTATTATTATCACATCCGTTAAAATGGATACATTATACGTGGAGTCTCGAAAATCTGGAAATTTTGCATATTTCATATTTCCTGTTTTCACTGAAAGTACCAAAAAATCAAGAAGACTTAGTAGAGAAATGATCGCTTAGTTACGATGATTTTCTAAAGATTTGATCTTTCCCGAATGGTTCAGGGATCAAACACGATTTATGGAGCAGAACTTATCGACTGCTTCTTAGAAGATGTTTCCCCACCTTCCAAACTGTTCTAATCACTTTGACCTTAAATTTCCATGACATTTTTACTCTGACAAAAAACACTGCAAAGCAATATTGAAATTGAAAAAGGGTTTCAAAGTTGAATGTTAACTTAAATGTTGCACAAAGCTCAAAAAGTATCGTCCATTACAGTTCTAAAGTTTCCCTTTTCAGTGTGCAGGATAATTTCCCACGAAAATTGTTGACATGTGCGGAAAACAATTCGCAGCTTACCTGTTAAATAATATGTCCATAAATATGCAGTCCATAATAATTGCAGTACATT